CTTTGCACCCACTCCAGTTTGTCCACATCCTTTTTGAAGTGAGGCCTCCAAAACTGCACAGTACTACAGGTACGGCCTGACCAATGCAGTGTACATTGGGATTATATCATGCACTTTGGAGATTGTACACCCCAAAGACGATATTAGCCTTTTTTTTTGCTCTTGGCTGCTCATATTTAGCATACAGTCCACCCGTACTACATGATCTTGTTCACACACACTGCTACCCAGAAATGTATCCCACACACAGTATGCATGCTTCTCATTTTTGTTACCCCAATATAGAACTGTGCATATATCCTTGTTGTATCACATCTTGTTGACATCTGCCCATTTTTCCAGTGTGTTCAGATCTTGTTGAAGTCTATCTCTGTCTTCCAGTGTGTACACTACTCCTCCCAATTTGATGTCATCTGAGAATTTAATGAGTAGTCCCTCCACCCTCTCATTCAGGTCATTGAAAAAAAATATTGAAAAGTACTGGACCCAGAACCAATCCCTGTGGCATCCATGGCATCTCCCTCCAAACAGATGAAATGCCATTGACAATTACTCTTTGGGTGAGGTGTTAGACGAATTGCTTTATTTACAGAAATTGGCAATTTATAAATGGGTTCTTGCCACTTTACACCAAGGTCAGGTTCCCACCAAGGGTGTGTGTGCTGTCTTCCAGTAAACCTATCTAGATATCTTGTGGTCTAGATATGGAAGCCGATCTTGTGAAGACAAGCTGGGCATGTCCCATATTGAACATTGTCTGAAGGCACACGATGCAGCAACCTTGATGAAGCTAAGCAGGCCTCAGTCTAGGTCTGGCCTGGAGGAGGCTGGGTTGTTGTTGTTGTTCAGTCGCACAGTCGAGTCCGACCCTTCGCGACCCCATGGACCAGCTCCCGCAAGGCCCTCCTGTCTTCCGCTGTCCTCTGAAGTTGGCTCAATTTCATGTTCGTTGCGTCAATGACACTGCCCAACCATCTCATCCTTTGCCGTCCCCGTCTTCTTTGACCTTCAATCTTTCCCAGCATCAGGGTCTTCTCCAGTGAGTGCTCCCTTCTCATTTGGTGGCCAAAGTATTTGAGCTTCAGTTTCATTATCTGGCCTTCCAGGGAACAGTCAGGGTTGATTTCTTTTAGGATTGACTGATTTGATCTTCTTGCAGTCCAAGGGACTCTCAAGAGTCTTCTCCAGCACCATAGTTCAAAAGAATCTATTCTTCGGCGCTCGGCCTTCCTTATAGTCCAACTCTCGCAGCCATACATGACTACTGGGAATACCATTGCTTTGACCATGCAGACTTTTGTTGGCAGGGAGATGTCTCTACTTTTTATCATGCTGTTTAGGTTCGCCATCGCTTTCCTCCCAAGGAGCAGGCGTCTTTTAATTTCATGGCTGCTGTCACAGTCTGCTGTGATCTGGGATCCCAGGAACGTGAAGTCTGTCACCACTTCCACGACTTCACCTTCTATTTGCCAAGGAGTGATGGGGCCGGATGCCATGATCTTAGTTTTTTTGATGTTGAACTTCAAGCCCAGTTTTGCGCTCTCCTCTTTTACTCTAAGCAGGAGGCTCCTTAGGTCCTCTTCACTTTCTGCCATTAGAGTGGTATTGTCTGCATATCTGAGGTTGTTGACCCCATGGACAGTAACAAAAGGAGGCTGGGAGACCACCTGAATTCCATGGACAAAAGGCTAAGTGTCATAAATAAATTCAGCTCTCTTGCCAATATAGTAAGCAAAGTATAAAATCCTAGCTTACTGTGTACATTGCGTTGAATATGTATTGAATATATCTGCATGTTGGTCTCCATTATGAGGTCCTGTTACAGCACAAGAAAAAACAAGGGGGAATCCACTGCAGGGTCTAAATACATTGGTTCTGTTAACTTAACATTGGTATAAGCCATGTAGTTCATTAATCAAAGTGTGGCTGTACCATGTTTTCAGAAAGAGATTTGTATTGTCGACTTTCTTGTGCGAGCATTACATAAATTCAGTTGGTGGGAAAATAACCCCTTTGTAATGTTTTAACTTCCTTGAAAGTGTAATGATTAAAAGGCATTCAAATTTAATTTACCCAAGTAAAGTGATTGTGTATGAGCCTTTATTGCTTATTGGCTTTACCTTTGGTTTGCTCTAGGGGTGTAATTGTCAATCATTTATTATTCACCCAGTCAATAGGTAACATGCAGTATATCTGTACTGCAAAAAATTTTTTTTTTACAAACCAAAATCTTTCTAGATGAGCAGGCATGTGAATATGGATACTGAACTAAAAAACCCCCAAAAAACCAAACAAAAACCCTGTATTTTAATATATATACATATCTCTATCTATCTATCTATCTATCTATATATATATAAAACTCACATTAACTCATATATTAATTCATAACTTTCAGAAACCTTCTAAGATTAGCATTATTCTGGAAACTCACTGCCTGCTTTTCACATTTCCTGATGCAAACTAAGGGATGTGGTAGGACCAACAAGAGGAAAGAAACTCAACTGATAGTGTATTAAAGTAAAGGTAAAGGATCCCTTGCTCGAAAGCCAGTCGAATCCGACTCTAGGGTTGCGATGCTCATCTCCATTTCCAAGCCGAAGAGCCAGCGCTGTCCGAAGACGTTTCCGTGGTCATGTGGCCGGCATGACTAAACACCAAGGCGCACGGAACGTTGTTCCCTTCCCACCGAAGTGGTACCTATTCATCTACTTGCAGTTTCTTTCTTTCCAACTGCTAGGTTGGCAGGAGGATAGTGTATTACTATTTGTTTATTAAACTACTTCTATTCTACGTTTCCCCCACTCAGCAGTCTTAAGGCAACTTAAATAACATAATCTAATTTATAGGTGCGTCTTTCGACCACAAGAGATGTTTCTGCTGAAGAGGATAATGTCCATAGATGTTTCTATGTATGTGTTTTCACATCAGTCACTGCACTGGCCCCACTGTCTTGGGCTTTCTTAATTATGTAAGCAGTGGAGTCTTGCTTGCTTCCTATTCCACCTGTGCTCTGCCTGCCAGGGCAAAGAATCTGCTTGGCACTTTGGGAGGGGGATGGAGGCAGAAACGACATGCCCACCCACTGCCATAAGCAGAACGCCTGCAGGGGACAGAGGCAATATTTAGGTAGTAACTATGGGGCGTAGAAGCAGAGGCCAGCCACCCATTATGTGGGTTATTATTTATTAAATTTCTACCCCGCCCAGAGGTCATTTCGGGGGGGGGGAACGCGGGGGAACGCAGTTCCCCCGGGTGAGGTACGGGGGGCGGGGCACATGACGAAGCCCCCCCCCCTGCTTCCGGCCGCCCCGCTTCCGGCCCTCATTCAGCCAGGAGGAGGCAGGAGAAGAGGGAGGGTAAGTTGCTTCCTCCCTGCCTCTCCCCACCCCTGCCTGCCTGGGGCCAGGGAGGGCCTTCGTGGGGCTTCCTTGCACTCCCGCCGGCCTTGCAGGTCCACCCCCAGGCCCCTCATGGGGCTCGGCAGTGGAGCTGCAAGGCCGGCGGCGGTGGCCGAGACCATTGGGGGCGGGGTGTGTGGCCTTATGACACACTTCCGGTGATGTCAGGGGGTGTGGCATATGCTAATGAGTTATGCTAATGAGCCCCCTAGCTCTTTTTCTACGAAACGACCCCTGACCCCGCCCTTCCCACGAATGGGCTCAGGGCGTCTCACAAACAAGGGCACTGTGTGCTGATACATAAAAACAGAATAAAAGCAAACAATTTTACATAATAAAGCGCTCAATGCTATTTGTCTTCAATTAAAGCAAGATGGTGTCCTGAAGATGTTACACTGTCCCAGTCCAACGGTACCAATCCACCATATTGCTGTAGTTCGATCTTCATAGAGGGCCATCCCCGTTGTTACCACGGGTCGTTGGTGCTGGTGGTAGTGGTGGTAGTGGTGACTCCTAATCAAAAGCCTGGCGGAAGAGCTCTGTCTTGCAGGCCCTGCGGATCTGTAAGAGGTCCCGCAGGGCCCTGATCTCCTCCGGGAGCTCGTTCTACCAGGTAGGAGCCACCACTGAAAAGGCCCTGGCCCTGGTTGCAGCAAGCCGGGCCTCCCTGGGCCTGGAACCACTAACTGATGCTGTGCCCCCGACCGTAGTGCCCTTTGGGGTATATGTGGGGAAAGGGCTCCTAGGAGACAGGCAGAAAGTTTGTCTTAACTCGCTGGAAGGCAAGCAAGTTGCTACAGTGTGGACTGGGAGAGGACAGTAATAAAACAAACCAATAAAAAGCAGGACCAAATCAGACAAGAGGCAAGAAATTTGTGACAAGAAAGGATTGGAGATCTTTCTCTGTTTGAGAGCAGTGTGGGTTAAATTTCTGAGATGTTTGACATCTTGGGTTTCACATAAAAGTGGCATGGTTTCCGTCACAGAAATCACCCCTCCAGCTGTTTTTAGTCCAGGTAGGGGAGGAAAGACAGGAAAAATCCCTCTATTGAGTAATGAAAGAAGTTGTGACTTGGATCTTTTGACGGTAGAGTGTGGGTAAGGTGAGCAATCCCTGCCTCTTTCTCCTCTTTACTCCAGTACTTAAAACATTTTTCTCCATCCTCAGTTAATCAGCTGCTGGGAGGTACGGCAGCAGTGTGTGCATTTGTGTGTGTGCAGGGGGTATCACACTTCATCATTTGTGTGTGTGTGTGTGTGTGTGTGTGTGTGTGCAGGGGGTATCACACTTCATCTACGCTCTCCAGTTTTGCTTTTAAATAAATTACCTGCCTCCCACTTGAGCATCCCAGGAAAGAAGAAAAAAACCATACCAGTGCTGTTACGCCTCCTCTGTGAAAGAGCCTTTCATTAGAAACCCCATTCCGTGCATTAGGGATCTGGATTGCATAGATACATCTGATATGATGTTTTGTGAGATGAAATTTTGTGTGTTCCTGATTATAGATATGTAGTCTGGAACACGGACGGGGCCACCTGGTGGTTCCCAGGTGGAATCTCTCTCAGTCCTTATATTTGTGGTTCACTCTTCTCTCACAGGTTTGGAAGTGCCTGGCCTGATTTGCACCACTTCACAAGTGACTTTGCCGGGGGCAGTGGTGATACTCACTAGCAACTTGGCAGGAGCTGCTCCTGGCACTGTTGGAGAACCGCAGAGGCCTCTGCAATAATGTCGAGGCACATCATCTTATTTTGCATGGAACTCAGCCAAATCAGAAGCAGCCATCTATGCGGTGCTTAGCAGCATCGGAACTGCCGCTTCAGACTTGGCCAAGCATCCTGGTTTGCAAATACTCCTCAAACCAAGGTTCCACATACTGAGAGTGGCTTCCCCTTTACCACGTTTTAGCATGTTAGCTATTGTTAAACTTTACATTTGCTGAAGTAAAGCAAATTCATTTGTCCCTCTATGTTTTTACCCACATCCAGGGCTTTTTGTGTAGAAAAAGCCCAGCAGGAACTCATTAGCATAATAGGCCATACCCAACCGCAGGAACTTATTAGCATATTAGGCCACACCCCTGACAGCACAGATCATTTGCATACTAGGCCACACCCCCATGTCACCAGAAGTGTGGTCATCCAGCCACACCCACCTTTTGCTTCTTATTCTCTTTACCTTGTTTGTTGTCAAAACCCAGAGCTTTTTGCATGTTAGGCCACACACCCCTAATTGTAGCCAATCCAAATGAGTTTCTGCTGTTGGGTGTGGCCTATTATGCTAATAAGTTCCTGCTGGGCGTGGCCAACTTGTCTGTTCCTGTGCGTTCCTGCCCAAAAATAGCCCTGCCCACATCAACAAAACAACATACTCTTCTTGAAGAACAGAATAAGAAAGCTTTATTGCTTTATAAAAAACATAAACATTATCTCTATTGCAGACATACTGAATATACAGTAAAAATCCCTCATATTAAAAATCCCTAATAGAAATATCTAAACACAAAGATAAAAATAATTTTATTCTTCCTATATTACGCTGCGTGGTTATATAAAATCATTTTGGTAGTATAAAATAGATATACTAAAATAGAATTTAATTAATAGTATAGAGGAAGCCCATCTGAGCAACCGTTAAAAGATGAAAATCTAATTGGTTTCGTGATTTCACAGAAATAACTTTATGAAAGATCATTTTGTTTCATAGTAGAAAAAGCAAAAATTATTGCCATTGGCCTGAATCTAGTTGCTCTAATGTTCCGGCTCACACATTTTTGTCCAAGTTATTGCCATTGGCCTGAATCTAGTTGCTCTAATGCTCTGGCTCACACATTTTTGTCCTAGCTCAGGAAGGAGGGCTCCAGAGCAAACTAATTTATGCAGTAGCCAAATCGATCACTCACAACTTTAATGCCAGTTACACTCCAGACTGTGTGCTGCACATGGGCTGCAGTAACTCTTAGTATAAATGAAAGTAGTAATTCTAGCAAGTGATATAACGTTCACATAATGTCAACTGGCTCCAAATAAGTTCAATCTGGAAAGTTCCTAAAATTGTGTGTGCAAAAATTGCAATGCAGGCTCACTAAGCCACTCTGCTGTACAGCACTTCTAGTTTGTGCTAGAAGAAGACCAAAGTGCATAGTAGCTAATACAGGTTACCAAAATTTTGCAATTGGGGTGTGACCATTTTACAAAAGATAAAAACAACGGCCCTCTCAATTTTGGCACAACCAACAAAAATCACTGATGACTCAAAGGCGACGGTGCAATTACTCTGCTTATGGGAATGCTGCTTTGAGAAATGATACCATCACATACGTCCACAGACATCTACGCTAGGTCAATTCAGTGATGGATGAATATCCCAAAGCGGCTAGGCACTGGGGGGTTTCCTGTTTTCAAGCAGTCTAATGCCATTTGTGTCCCTGTCTTTGATCTGCCTCCCTCAAGCCTTTCCACCGTGGCTGAGAGGGGTAGCAATGCGGCCCTAAGTATTTTGGCTTTATGTTGTCATTCTGCTGTGGGAACTCCTCTGGCAACAGCGGCATCGCCTTCGCAGCCCCTGCACATTTCTGAAGTGGTGTACGGGGACGGCCGTGAGCTTCTATGTCTGGCCTTAGTTCTTTTTGTAAACGGTCTATAAGATAGTTTTCAAGGTCACCTCTGCCACCCTGAGCGCTCCTAAGCCTATGAGCATTCGTAATTAGATCTCCCATCAGCCTGATCTTCTGGATCTTGGGCGCTAGAAATTGCTTCTTAATTGTGCTTGCAGTGTGGGGGTCTGAGTTCTTGATACTCAGAGCATAAAGATCCTCAAAATAGCCTGCCAACATCTTCCACTGTATTAAGGCAACTTCCAGAGCCGCTGCCACACCATTTATATACACGTTGGGTGGTTTCTGGAATTACAAACAACACAACAAAAATTGCAAACAGGAAAAAAACAAAGTGCATCCACCTCACAAAGTTATTATGAAGCTGGTCTCCCACTTTGAGCTCCTTGAAAATAGCAAAAGATGCCAATATGACAAATAAATATATATACAAAGGATACTGGCCAGGTTTACAGTCACTTTTAGGCAAGGGTCATTTCCTGCAGGAGCGCGCAGGAGCGGAGCTCCGGCAGTAAAGAGCCCAGGGGGCGGGCACATGCAATAAGCACCACCCCCTGCTCCCAGCAGCCCTCAGTCAGAGCAAGAAGCAGCCAGGTAAGCTACAGAGCCCCCCCCCCGGCCCCCTTGTCCAAAACAGTCCAGTGGCACCTTTAAGACCATGTTTTATTCAGGTACAAGCTCTCCCTCCTCCGTGAGGACAGATCTGCATGTTCCCCCCTCCCAATAGCTAGGACTCCAAAACAGTCCAGTGGAGCCTGAGTGGTGGGTGTTGCCTTCTGACACACTTCCGGTGATGTCAGGGGGTGTGGCATATGCAAATACGTTATACTAATAAGTTATGCTAATGAGCTCCTGCACCTCTTTTTCTACAAAATGACCCCTGCTTTTAGGCCTTATGTCAGCCAAGCCACTAAAGATTTGATGCTGACCCATTTTGTAAATAAAATTAAAATTATTCCTGCCTTTCTGTCTTCATCAGGGCCACCATAGTGGCTTACAGTTAAAACAAGCATTATGAACTTATTAAAACAATTTAAAAGCACAACTAAAACATATATAAAAGTACAGGAAACAGCTTCCCTCAGAATGCGTACTTCTGATAATGAAATTCTAGGCTGTTTTTTAATAACTCATATTGTTATGAAGCTGAATAAAGTCCCACTGATACAACACTGACCCAGATGGATCTCAAATAAGTGGGTATAAAAAGCATTTACTTCACTCTGAGCTATCTGGAGGAAGGGTGGTACATAAATACAGGGCATGAGCCTTCCACATATGTGGGGCCTGCATACACCTTGCCTGGGGAAGGTTTCAGACTAGACTGAACTAGAAGAGAAAGAGAGAATCCACGAGGGAATTCCCTATCTCTTTAATTAGGAGCTGCAAGGAAGCCCAAAGTGGATTAGTACTACTATGCTGGTATGGGGAGGTTAAACTTCCTGAACCTATCAAGACAAATACTAACTTCATGGAGTGGGGCAGGGAGGGAGAAAGAGAAGAGAGAGTGAGGGGATATGTTATTCTTTATGCACATGCGTTAAAAGTGTTATCCTGCCAACCTAGCAGTTCGAAAGCAAGAAATTGCAAGTAGATAAATAGGTACCACTTCGGTGGGAAGGTAACAGCGTTCCGTGCGCCTTAGTGTTTAGTCATGCCGGCCACATGACCACGGAAACGTCTTCGGACAGCGCTGGCTCTTCGGCTTTGAAACAGAGATGAGCACCGCAACCCTAGAGTCGGACTCGGCTGGCTTTTGAGCAAGGGAACCTTTACCTTTACTTTTCACTAAAAGTGTTAACAATGAAAACACCGTAATGTATCAAGAAGACAATGTCTGAAGATGATTGTATCATTAAATTAAACTTAGAAAGTGAGATATTTGCCAGCTGTTGAAAGAACAGTCTGTGAAAGAAGAAAATATTTTGCTAGCCAGTATTTGCATCATACCTGGATAACTTTGGTACAGTACAGGCCCCCCCTGTCGTGCTGGTATTGTATCAGTACTTCCGCGGCTTCCTTCTCCTCCTTGGCCTGTTCCCAGAAGAATTTTGAAACATTTGGTAGACTCATATCAGAGCGATCAAAGATTTCACCCTGTATTTTGCAAACAAACAAAATGAAAACACTCGCTGCAGCTCATATAAAACAATCACACAGGCATGCTAACAAAAACCTGGAGCATTTACGTAATCAGCTGTACTGGCAATAAGTGTACAAGGCTGTTTATGCACTCAGATCTCCCTTGCTGAATCAGGGCGCATTTCAACGGCAAATATTTGTGAGGGCAAAGGATGCCACAGCTATATAATTAGACATAGCACTGGTTGCAAAAAAAAAAATGTAGATGTCTAAGAAACAGCAGTGGAAAGCGTAAAATATGATGAATCAGGCTGCATGGCTGCCACTCACTGTGACTACATCCCTTTGTAACACCCTGTAATAGTAGAAATCACATGGGAAAGCTGAATACACATGGGATAAACCAAGCTAGTTCTACCCTCCCCCCATCCTCTGATATTACTCCTGTGATCTTAGTTTTTGCATTCATAAGGTCACTGGAAGGATGTAACCAGTGGAAGGTGGTAACCAGGGGTCATTTCCTGTGGGAGCGCACAGGAGCGGAGCTCTGGCAGTAAGGAGCCCAGGGGGCAAGCACATGCAACAAGCCCTGCCCCCTGCTCTCAGCAGCCCTCAGTTGGGCCACGGGGAGCAAGAAGCAGCCAGGTAAATTGCAGAGCCCCCCCCCCGCCCGCCTTCAGGTATAAGCCTCCCCTCCTCTGTGAGGGCAGATCTGTGCATCCCCCCCCCCCATAGCTACCAATCCAAAACAGTCTGGTGGCACCTTTAAGACCAAGTTTTATTCAGGTACAAGTTCTCCCTCCTCTGTGAGGACAGATAGGCACATTCAACCCCCCCAAATAGCTAGCAATCCAAAACAGTCCAGTGGAGCCTGAGCGGTGGGTGTTGCCTTCTGACACACTTCCGGTGATGTCAGGGTGTGTGGCATATGCAAATAAGTTATGCAAATAAGTTATGCTAATGAGCCCCTGCATCTCTTTTTCTACGACATGACCCCTGGTGGTAACCCTACCACTCCCATAATGCCAGATTCAGGACTGAGATTGCTACTATTCCTCATATCCCTGCTTCCTGACACCTATGATGTTCTCCCTCAAGCACCCTGCCCATTGGCTCCCAGCCCAGATCTCAGAAGCTACCCTGATTCCTACTTGGATGGGAAACCCAAGGAAGACTGGGGTTGCTATGCAGAGGAAGGCAACCGCAAACCACCTCTGTTCATCTCTTGCCTTGAAAAGCCTTTGGGGTTGCCATAAGTCAGCTGCAATTTTACAGCACTTCACACACACACACACACACACACACACACACACTTCCTAATACAAAATTTAGTGTAGTGTTGTCAACAGGCTTCCTTTTCTCTTTTTAGAAGGAATATAGCAACAGCTGAATGGTGTCATCATAATAACCACCCTTCAACTTCCCTCCCAAGTCCTCCTAAATCTTGGCATATATCGGGCAAAATTGATTATTAAGCAGAGAGTGCTCGATTTGGAGAAGCAAGCAGACATTTGCAGTTCACCAAATGATTTTTCTTCAGCAAACAGTAGGTATGTGGTTGCTCCACGGCCTATTTATACATTCTTGAATCTTATAATACCAGAATGGCTTTCACCCTAGCAAGGAGCATGGCCTTGCTGTCCGCAGTAATAGAGGGACGGTATGCGCACTTGTTCCCAGACTGAAACAGACTCTCTGGAGCATATCTTTTTAAATTGCTCTTTCCATGTGGCGAGCCGAAAGGAAATCATCGGCCCACTGCTGGAATGGTTCCCAGGGAGGTCAAACAAAATTAAATTAGAATACCTGTTGTCGAATAGGAATCATCATACATCAAGACAGGTGGCTAGGTTCTGCACCCAGGTATACAAGGAACGCAAAAAGTGAGGCAAATAGACCATATCCCTACTTTTAGAGAGCCAGTTTGGTGTAGTGGTTAAGTGCGCGGACTCTACTCTGGGAGAACCGGGTTTGATTCCCCACTCCTCCACTTGCACCTGCTGGATGATTTTGGGCAAGCTGTAGTTCTGATAAGAGCTGTTCTTGAAAAAAGAGCCGTTTCTGTCAAGAGCTCTCTCAGCCCCACCTACCTCACAGGGTGTCTGTTGTGGGGAGGGGAAGGGAAAGGAGTTTGTAAACCGCGCTGGGACTCCTTTGGGTAGTGAAGGGCGGGGTAGAAATCCAATCTCTTCTCTTCTTCTTCTTTTAGCAAAAATGTTTTAAACTGACTTTTGAAATGGTTTAAAAGGTTTGAACAGTAGTTTTCTTTTTTCCTTTATATTTTATATAACTTATAAGCTTTTACGCTACTAAGGTTTTTACTGGCTCATAACCAGCTAGGATAGTATTGGGAATTTTTCTATTTGTCTTTTAAATTGTCATGTACTGGTTGAAGACTGTAATAATAAACTGACTGACTGACACCCTTCAACTTGGTTCTGTTTTTGCTTCCTTTACTTCTTCAACTGTGTCGTGTTGCATTCTATTCATTCTGAATCTGTCTTCAACAATTCTTTCAACCACCTAATTGGCCCTCCTAGACCAGCTAATTCCACTCCTTCTAGTCTCCTTCATTCTTCCTGTGGCCCTGTAATATATAGTGCAAACTTATACAGAATAACTCCAGTCTAAGGTCATTGACCTCAGTGGACTTAGATTGGAGTAACTCTGCCAAGACAGTACTGATATTTATGGAAACAGTGTCAATTTCACCTACCAAGTCATGTAAGTCCTCTTCACAGGAAAAAGGACTCAGACCGATTTCCCACAAGCCGCTGCTCCGCCCTCGCTCCCCCCCCCCATTGTATGCATCAATTTCCCACTACTTGCTGCACGGCCGCATTTTGACCCGCAGCTTTGCCCGATTCCCCCCGCGTCTTCTTGAGCCTGTTTTCCGAGGATCGCAAAGACGTGGGGGAAATCAGGTGAAGCTGCGGGTCAAGATTTGGCCGCGCAGCAAGTAGTGGGAAATCAATGCATACATTTGGGGGGAAAGGAAGGGCGAGGGCAGAGCAGCAGCTTGTGGGAAATCGGTCTCAATTTCTGTCCCAAATTGAAACTCTTAAAGAGGGACTAACTCAACTACCCAAGCTGCCACTATTACAATCCTTAAAATTGTGGAAAATCTAGTAATCATCTCTCAAAAGTGCAGGACTTCTCTGAAGTTAAGGTACTCAAACCATAAATTACAAGATTACCTGCCCAATTAACCTTACAGTCCCTCAATCTCCTTTGATATAAATAAGGATAGGAAAAGTCAACCAGAGATCTTTCTGGTTTTATGGAACTAATTTCCATAATATCATGGGATTTTATAGAATTCATTGAAGTTTATAAAATGTGGTCTGATATTACTGATCAAGAGCATGTTTATTAGCTTTTATTGTAAAGACGTTCTGCCTAAATTTTATAGTTGTTGTTTGCATGTTTGGCTTAAGACCTTGGGTCAATGAAGCTAATAAATGAAATGGAAAAAATGGAATTACAAGATTACACAAGAAAACCGGAACTTTGTATCAAGTTATAAATTTCGTTACAGAAACTGCTCAACCATTATTTTACACGCAGATTACTAAGATTGTTTAAATATAGTATATTCCTTAAAAGTAGAACTAAAGACAACTATTTCACCCTGTGCAAAGGCTCTACAACTGTGAACATAGCATGTGGGCTGTGCAACTAGAGTTTTTGGATTATGCCTCTGCTTACTTTTTTGCAAACATGTTTTACCTTATGTACAGCACACCTGCACAACCAGCTATCACTACGTGTATATAGTGTGTCTTTGTTTCTCCCTGGCCGCCCTTAGCCCCAGGCAGATCAATGACTCTGCAGGTTCAATGTGCGTAGGTCAGGATTACCTGAGCCCATTGGGGAGGGCGGGGTATAAATGTGAAAAATAAATAAATAAATAAATCAGGGTGCGTTCAGACGCGCCGTTTGATCTGGTGTCGTGACAGTTCAGCAACGGATTTTATATGCACGATCACACAGTCAACATCTGCCTCCCATCCTCAGCCATTAGTTTCCGGCTCAAAACTGCTTTAACCCGGAATATTTTGTTACCAGGTCCCAAAGTGGTGTTTTATCAGCTCTCCTGTTTAAAGCCGCATTTCCCCCGTGTGATCGCTCCTCCGGTGTCAAGCCACTTCCGGTTTAAACCCCCTCCCCACGAAAGCTGCCTGAGGCTTCCGCTTTTCGCCCGCCATTTTTTTTAGTGTCGGCGGTGCGCGCATAGGCGGAGCTCTGCTACCGTGTTTAGAAAACCGACATTTAAACGGTCACTTGTTTCAGCGTTTAGATGAGTCCAGGATCTCACGGAGGCCATTTTCGGGTCAAATGTTTAAAGGAAAGTCTTTTGTTGGAGGGGTGGTTCTGCGCATGCGCCATGGTAGTTTCACACACCCCCATTCTACGGATGAGCACTTATGCGCAAACTGAGAAAAAACTTAAAACTCGCCGACATACGGTCTCACACGTTGGTAGTGTAGACGACAGAGAGCGACGTGACTGCACGGTGAGGCAGGATAAAGGAGGTAAGTGTGATTGCGATTATCCAGATCAAATACAATCCGGTCAGAACAAGAGCCGTTTAACCCACTCTCAGCACACCGTCTGACCGCACCCTTAAGGTAGTATCTAGGGAGGAGAAGTCATTCAAGAGCAGCTGAATTCCACATGAGAGTGACCAAGGGAAGAGAATGGGCTTCTGTCATAGGATACAGGGCAACGGGTGACTTGGGCTGTGGTCACACACACACAATAATCCGCTTTCAACCCTCTCTCAGTGCACTTTCCAACTGGATTTTACTGTGTGAACTGGCAAAATCCAGTTGGAAAGTGCATTGAAAGTGGGTTATTTAGCATGCAAAGCTTCCCGTGCTAGCTGAAGATATATTAGTTTATCCAGGCCTTCCACTAATTTTTTTAACATGTAATTTTAATATACAATTTTTTAATGCTGATTTTTAAATTATTTATATTGTCTCCATTGCCTGTAAGACACACTTTAAAGCCCTATATGGCCAGGGTCCAACATACCTAAGGGGACCGCCTCTCCCCATATGTTCCCCCAAGTGCACTTCGGTCAGGGTCTCAACACCTCCTAGTGATGCCAGGCCCCAAAGAGGCCAGGTTTGCTGTAACCAGGGCCAGGGCTTTCTCGGTGGCGGCCCCTACCTGGTGGAATGAGCTCCCGGAAGAGATCCGGGCCCTGCGGGACCTTGCGCAGTTCCGCAGGGCCTGTAAGACGGAGCTCTTCCGCCAGGCTTTTGCGTAGGAGCCGCCGCCACCATCACACCATCACATTACCCCACCAACGTACCATCACTACTGTATTACCATCGTTGTTGCTCCACCACCACCAATTGATTAGTTAACATCGGGGTTTGTGATGGGCCTGTGACAAGATATTTATAATATCACGTGGAACCATACCATTGAATTGGGTCTAACATTCCCGGGATGCCATGGAATTGGGACTACCATCCCCAGGATACCATTTTGCGATTGAAGATCTTTCAAAACATCTGGAGCACTTTATGCTGTTTTCAATGTTGGTTTTATCTTGTTTTATTGATTAACTATTGGCATTTTTTTGCTCTACTTGTGTTTTAACTATTGGCACATGTTGCCCTATTTGTGAGCCGCCCTGAGCCCGTTGCGGGGAGGGCGGGCTATAAATTTGAACAAACAAACAAATAAATAAATAAATAATAGAGCCTCTGGTGGAGAAAGAGGGACAAACAAGCCAGTGTGGTGCAGTGACTAAGAGCGGCTGACTCTAAGGCCCTTTCTGCACTCTCCTTTTATTTTTATTTTTAAACCACAATTTTACTAGGCTATATTAATAATTCAAAGATACATCACTTTACCAACTGTCATATATCCTTTTCTCCTAATTACCCACCCCTTCTGACTTCCCACAGTGCTCCAACCTCCAGCCCAAATCTTGTAATCCCCTCTTTTCCCCTTACTCGTTGGCCATATTCTACAGGTATCTTTTAACAACTGTTCTTATACAATTTAGCTTATTCTAGGTCCCTGCCACACGAGAGACAAAAAGAACGGGCAAAGTGCGGCTTTTGAAAGCCGCACCAAAATAGGCACGCGGCGGCGGGATCATACAGATCCCGTGAGCCGCCGTGCAACTGCTCCCCGGCACGATCAGATGCCGGGGAGACCGGGGAGGAAGCCACGGGAGGCTGCCGAACTGCGCATGTCTGAGCATGCGCAGTTCGGCCAGGACCCGGGGATGCGCCGGCGGAAGAACGCGCCGGCGATCCCACGGCTGGCTTTGATGCGGCCGTTCAGAGAGAACCACCTCGGTAGGTGGTTCTTTCTTGCTGCAGATTATTGCCGGAAGGGCCGGATCGGGGACGGGTGCGCAACGCTTCCCAGATGTTGCGGTGGGATCGCGCCCGTTTGCTCCGCCCCCGATCCGGCCCTCTCCCAGCCCTAATCCTGTCGTGTGACCAGGGCCCTAAATATCTTTTTTTCCCAATAGTTATTAAAGCAAAATAAGTTGTTTTTTGCATCCCACTGCACTCCCCTTTTAATCGATGCTCACCACGGTGTCCCCCAAGCAATTCTGTACTAAAATCGAATTCAACCTTCTTTTTAATCCAGGTCCCCCCGTCCCGTCCCCCGTTCTGCACTGCACTACCTCCCTTCCGTGTTCAGCCCAGTTTCAGCCTGCTGTTGCCCTGGGTTATTTGGATGCTGCTTTGCTGTGGACTTAAATTGCCTCGACTTGAACACTGAGAAAATCTGGAGTGGTGGGCGAATGTGGAAAGGACCTAATCTGGAGAACGGGGTTTGATTCCCCACTCCTCCTCCACATGAGGCCTGCCGGGTGACCTTGGACCAGTCTCAGTTCTCTCAGAGCTCTCTCAGTCCCACCTGCCTCACAAAGTGCCTGTTGTGGGGAGGGGAAGGGAAAGGACATGGTAAGCTACTCTGAGACTCCTTTGGGTAGAGAAAAGGGGGGGTATAAAAATATTCTCCCCCCCATGTATACATATACATACACAGGGGTCGTTTCGTAGAAAAAGAGCTAGGGGAACTCATTAGCATAACTCATTAGCATATGCCACACCCCCTGACATCACCGGATGTGTGTCATAAGGCCACACCCCCTGACATCACCGGAAGTGTGTCATAAGGCCACACACCCCGCCCCCAACGGTCCGCCGCTGGCGGCCTTGCAGCTCCACTGCCGAGCCCCATGAGGGGCCCGGCGGTGGACCTGCAAGGCCGGCAGGAGTGCAAGGAAGCCCCGCAAAGGCCCTCCCTGGCCCCAGGCAGGCAGGGGTGGGGAGAGGCAGGGAGGAAGCAACTTATCCTCCCTCTTCTCCTGCCTCCTCCTGGCTGAATGAGGGCCGGAAGCAGGGCGGCCGGAAGCAGGGGGCGGGGCTTCGTCATGTGCCCCGCCCCCCGTACCTCACCCGGTGGAACCCCCCCGAAATGATCTCTGCACATACAGAGAAGACGTGCAGTGCTTCTTCTGAGAGTTAACAAGTCACCAGAAAACATTTGGTCTAATGCTAGAAAAAAAGCAATGAGTTGGATCCAGTCAGCTTTTTGGCAGATGAGAAAGGAAGGAGGGGTTGCCTTTGACCACCAAGAAAGGGAATCATGGGGGATGTAAGCTATGATTCACCAGGGTTTAGACCAGAACCTATTTTCAGTACCAGGGAAAGGCTTAGCCTTCGAACACGGAAGTAATAAAAGTGTCTGCTTGGAACATGCACAAAACACCTTCCTTTGATTAAAAAAAACCAATAGCCTACTTTAAACATGATGCCAGCATGGCAAAGAGGTTTGCTATGGGCTGCACTGACCAGGCATATTGTTTAAACCCAGCACCTGTCTGGACAAAAATGGTACTGGATCTCTAGTGTGCTCAGGCATGCAAAGTGGCAATTTCGGCCAGCACACTGGCACTCATACAACATTAGCAAGCTAGCACAAACAACCTGCCTGTGCGCCTCTGCCTTAGATCTCGGCTGTGCTAAAGTTGCAGATGAAAACCCAAATGGGTGTTAACAAGATGACATGGATTTTTACACATGCATAGTCTCTTTCGACTAGCTAGTAGGGGTGCCAACAAACCTGGAGAAAAATCTCTTGCCCACTTAATAGAGGTTTACCGTGTGGAAATGGGTGCTTGATGCTTTTATTTATTTATTTAACTTTTACCCCGCCCTCCCCGCCAGGCGGGCTCAGGGTGGCTTCCAAAAACTGATAAGCAGTATACATTTTACAGTAATAGAATAAAACACATCATTTAAAAACCTAGACAAGTCAATATAAAACATTAATTCGATGGTGATAAAAATAAAGTGCAGTTTAGGGACACATTCAGCGGTGCCACTGCGCTAGGGCGTGTTGGATCGGAGTTCACACTGGGCGATGCTGGTAGGACGTTGCTCCTAGCGGAACGCCTGCCTAAAAAGTTCTGTTTTCACGGCCCTGCGGAACTGTGACAAGTCCCACAGGGCCCTGATCTCGGCAGGAAGCTCGTTCCAACGGGTATTAATGATCGTTTTAGTGGGTATTAATGATCTGGAAAATGCCGTTGTACGAAAAGGGCGGAACATTTTCCTCTAGGCGAGGTGGCAACCAATGTTCCCTTCTAAGCTTTGGAGTTTTGTGTGCAAAAATTCTACTCTTATCATTATGATTTACTCTGTGAGCTCCTGGCATGAAAGTTGTGAGCCAGCGATTTGGCTCCTGCATAAATCAGTGTGCTCTGGAGCCCTCTTTCCTGAGCTAAGACAAAAATCTGTGAGCCAGAGGCTAAAAAACTGTGAACTAGCTCACACTAACTCAGCTTAGAGGGAACACTGGGGGCAACCCTATCAAGCCATGCACATTAAATCCATTTATGAAATTGGGACCATTCGGAGGAGAGGAAGAGTTGCCATGTTCCTTCAGTTATTATGCTTTCATTTTTTGCTTTTCTTCTTATTGAAATCATTAGAAACTCCTACATACTCAGTTAATCTGTTATATACTTCACATGGTTAGGAGTTGCATAATTTTATATATTATTGTTAGAAGGTTTAACAAAGGTTTATGGATAATTATTCACACACACACACACACATTGGTAACAATGTGGAAATCTTGCTTGAAAGTTCATATGTTGGATTTATTGTGTTATTTCAAAATGTTTCATCTGCATATCTGTATTTGTGTATTTCTAATAAAATAAAAGGGAAGCTGCGGTGGCTCAAGTGGTTAAGACACTGAACTGCAGGCTGTGGAAGGTCAGTAGTTCAGCGGTTCCGGGTGCCGCAAGACAGGGTGAGCTCCTGTCTCTAGTTCCAGCTCCTGCCAACCTAGCAGTTCGAAAGCAAGACATTGCAATAATAAAATAAATATTATATATATATATATATAAAAAAGCGATGCACATCACTTTTCGGACCAATCTGGGGAAAAAACCGGAGAAAGAATCCCGATAAGCCGCAGCAAAAACACGGGTGCGAGAAGAGGGTCTTCCGAAAAGCCGCAAACCTCGCGGTCGTCCCAGGAAGCTGCTAAAAGGGGGGGGGGCGGCGAAGGGAGGAGCCTGGTCGAGAGCGAGCGGCAGCCTTGGATTGTTTCCGCTGCAGCCGCCGAGAGGCTGCGTCCGCGTGAGAAAACCGCTGTCCTTTGCCGGGCAGAGCGGCCTTACCAGCATCTGGAAGACGTAGGCGACTTCCAGCAGGGCGCCGGTGACCCCGCACAAGCTTTCCTCCACCACGGGCGGGAAATTCTGCTTCACCAGCTGGCGGGGCGCTCTGCCATGCCGGTGGAGGGTGCACGCGGGCAGGCCGCCCTTGAGCCTTTTCCGGCTCGGCTCGGCCATGGCGAGGGGAACAGCGGCCGCCTCCCCTTGGCTGCAAGGCGCGACGCGGCCTCTTCGCGGTGACGCGGAGGGATTCCTCCAAGTTGGGGCTTCGGGGAAGTCCCGACCGCTCGAAGGCGACCTGGAAACAGCTCTTCGGGGGAAGAAGCGCGCTTGGACTCTCCCCCACCGCCGGTCTATGTAGCTCCGGGTTCACCGCGCCGAAAAGGGGCGGGTCGCTTGTACCTGGCACGCACCTGGCTCCGGGCATTCTCCAACTCGGTTTTTTTCTGGACAAAAAAAAAAAATCTCCAGGGCTTGGGGGGACGTGTTTAGAGGGATGTAGGTGGGTGGAGGGTATTTCTGTGTATATATGTTATGTGATATGTCTGTATTTGTTTTATTAATGTGGAAAATTCAATAAAAATTATATTAAAAAAAAGAAATGTAAACAGGGTAAAAGAAATACATTCTCCAGGAGCCTCAGTATTATTCCACACACACACACACCCCTTCCTAAACCATATTAAAGGTAAAGGTTCCCTTGCTCGAAAGCCCGACTCTAGGGTTGCGGGGTTGCGGTGCTCATCTCATCTCCGTTTCAAAGCCGAAGAGCCAGCGCTGAAGACTGAAGACTCTCTTGCTTTCGAACTGCTAAGTTGGCAGGAGCTGGTGGCCAAAGTATTTGAGCTTCAGTTTCATTATCTGGCCTTCCAGGGAACAGTCAGGGTTGATTTCTTTTAGGATTGACTGATGTGATCTTGCAGTCCAAGGGACTCTCAAGAGTCTTCTCCAGCACCATAGTTCAGAAGAATCTAGTCTTCGGCGCTCGGCCTTCCTTATAGTCCAGCTCTCGCAGCCATACAGTACCACTGGGGATACCATTGCCTTGACCATACGGACTTTTGTCTCTACTTTTTATTATGCTGTCAAGGTTTGCCATCACTTTCCTCCCAAGGAGCAGGCGTCTTTTAATTTCATGGCTGCAGTCACCATCTGCATCAGCGGCTCTAGACAGACTGAAAACAGTGATCCCTGCTTACACTCTTGGATATGTGAAAGGGCAGCCTAAGGGGAAGTCACAGTTGTGGGAGTGGGGTAGTAAGGGGGGGGGGAGGTATATCCACTCACAAAGGGACAGAACTGTACAACGCCCCAGACTTTAAAAAGGTAAAGGTAAAGCTTTCTGTTGGTTCTAGAATCCTAATGCATTGGTTACTGAATATCCTATTTTGTTGACTGTACTGACTCTATATCCGTAATCCACTTTGAGTCCCTGTGAGAAAGGTGGGCTATTTATTTTATTTATTTATTATATTTATGAATCGCCCCACCCCTGCCACTGCAGGGATCTGGGCGATGTGCAACCAGAGATAAAACAAGATAAAATTAATTAAAACCTTAAAAGTAAAGGTTCCCTTGCTCGAAAGCCAGTCGAATCCGACTCTAGGGTTGCGGTGCTCAACTCCGTTTCCAAGCTGAAGAGACAGCGCTGTCTGAAGACGTTTCCGTGGTCATGTGGCCGCATGACTAGACACCAAGGCGCACGGAATGCTGTTACCTTCCCACCGAAGTGGTACCTATTTAATCTACTTGCAATTTCTTGCTTTCGAACTGCTAGGTTGGCAGGAGCTGGAACTAGAGATAGGAGCTCACTCCGTCATGCGGCACCCGGGTCTCAAACTGCTGAACTACTGACCTTCCAGAGCCTGCAGTTCAGCATCTTAACCACTTGAGCCACCGCAGCTCCAAACTTTATTGAACAGCAAATCGTTATGACAGTCATCCAATGACCTGGGTTGCCAATGCCCTCTGTCTTTGGCAAGCTGCCTCCAGGGGCCACGGGGAGACAGGCTGAGCTATCCCTAGCATCACCAGGATGAACCAGGATGAACCTGAACCAGGATGCTCTAGGAGGTGGGCTGGGCTGGAAGTAGTGACTGAGTGGCAGCCCTGTAGCCAGAAAAATTTTGGTGTGAGGCCTGGGGGACATGTAGGAGGTGAGACCAGAAGCAGCTTCCCTTTCCTTCCACAGCCTCCCTGCTGTGGCCTTCCCGCCTTCTGGTCAGTTTCACTCCCCACCCATCAGCTGTCAGGTTTAACAACTGATGGATGGGGAGTGAAACTGACTAGGATCAAGGACACAGAGGGGCAGGGGTAAGGGGTGTGGTGCACCAGGGGTGGGATGGGGGTCTGGCATTCTCCCAGGGTGGGACAGGGCTCATCCGTGGTGGGGGCTGCACTCCCAAATGCCCCACCGTGGCTACGGGCCTGCTGAGTGGAGCGACAGGAACAGCACTGTCATGCTCCCAGGCAGGGGTCATTTCCTGCAGGAGCGCACAGGAGCGGAGCTCCGGCAGTAAAGAGCCCAGGGAGCGGGCAAATGCAACAAGCCCCGCCCCTTGCTCCCAGCAGCCCCAGGCCACAAGGAGCAAGAAGCAGCCAGGGAAGTTGCAGAGCCTCCCCCGCCCCGCAATCCAAAACAGTCTAGTGGCACCTTTAAGACCAAGGTTTATTCAGGTACAAGCTCTCCCTCCTCTTTGAGGGCAGATCTGCGCGTCTTCCCCCCCCCCCATAGCTAGCAATCCAAAAGAGTCCAGTGGAGCCTGAGCGGTGGGTGTTGTCTTCTGACACACTTCCGGTGATGTCAGGGGGCATGGCATATGCAGATGAGTTGTGCTAATGAGCTCCTGCACCTCTTTTCCTACGGATTGACCCCTGCTCCCAGGTCCCTCTGTTGAATCACACCTGCATCAGTAATAAGGAGCACAGACACCATGCCAGCCACAGCAAATGCATATGGGGCCCTGGCAGGGTTTGCAGTTCCTACCCCATGGGGGGCTCTGTTTGCCAAGGCGTATACTGTAACCATCCAAAATGACACAAATCCCAGGAGGAAGTGCTCTGCGACTGCTCCATTCACTGCTGGTGAACCCACGGTTGCTTGGCTAGCTGATCCACAGAGCACAGTGAGCAGCTGCCAGATATCTCAAACCACAGTTGTGCCCTGTCCCCTGCCTTGGAAGAGGGGACGCCCTGGCTAAGGAGTATGGGTCTTCACCTACCCTCCCTTCAGAGGCAGTTGTGCTGGCTACTCTTCCTTGGGGGCATCATGCTTGATTGACCTGTCTCAGGGGTCATTTCCTGCGGGAGCGCACAGGAGCGGAGCTCCGGCAGTAAAGAACTCAGGGGGCAGGCATATGCAACAAGCCCCGCCCCCTGCTCCCAGCAGCCCTCAGTCAGGCCACGAGGAGCAAGAAGCAGCCAGCTAAGTTGCAGAGCCCCCCCCCCCCCCCCCCCCTTCGGGAACAAGATCCCCCCCTCCGT